TGTGGGTGTGTGTGTGTGTGTGAGAGTGTGTGTGTGAGTGTGTGTGTGTGTGTGTGTGTGTGTGTGTGTGTGAGTGTGAGTGTAAGTGTGTGTGTGTGTGTGTGAGACTGAGAGTGTGTGAGTGAGTGCGTGAGTGAGTGCGCGAGCGAGCGTGTGAGCGAGCGAGTGATGTACTCCTCATCGTGTTCATTTCCTCCCATTGGTGTACAATGATGGGCGGCACTACAGAATTACAGCTGCTGTGAGGACACAGAGAGAGACACTCATACTCACACACAGGCCTTTGTGCTGATGCAGCAGGATGTTGTCGTCTCTCGACTGTGACACTGACACCACAGACACAGACCATAAATCAGCAGTGCCGCAGTGCTACCACACACACTCTCTCACACAGACACTCTCTCTCACACACACACACACACACACTCTCTCTCTCTCTCACACACACACACACACTAGGCGCGTTTCCATTACAGATTTGCGCAAAACTATCTTTACAGAAGCAGCACAGAGAGCTACTTCAGAAATGTGCGTGGCGCGGCTAGAATAAACACAAGCACTGACTAGAGTGGCCACAATCAGCTTCAGTGGCCGTATCAGAGCCACACTGCACCGCAGACGTGTGCAGTGTAAATAGTCTAAGCATTAATGGTAGGGAAAGCCCCTTATACTGGAGCGCGGCCACGTATGATGTGTTTCTTGGACGTTATAGTACATTGAAGAATGATCATATGACTTTTTACAAAGGCCATGTGACCTGTAAATGCAAAAAAGCCGTTTCTGTTGCAGTTTTGCAAATTATTCCTTTTTCGCTTTGCCTGAAAAACCACATCATGTGAGCGTAAAAACTTTTTTGCGATATATGTGCGTTTTTGCGAAATTGACGCGTTTCCATTAGGCGTATTTTCAATTCACAATTTCAATTTGCTCAATTTGAAGGGTAATGGAAATGCGCCTACAAGAGAGAGCATGGTCCTTTGTTCACTTCATACCTGTCACACTCACACACACATTGACTTTGTTTTCAGTTTGCACCGTCTTCCCTAAGTATATGTTGTCAGGGTTGCTAATTTGTGACATTCTGTTCAGCTGTGCACACCTCATTGACTTCAGTATTTAAGTTCATGCCTTTCACCCCTTAGTTGTCGGGTATTGTTTACACTTTGGTTGGATGCTCTGGTAACACTTTATTTTAAGGACTAGTTCTCACTATTAACTAGTTGCATATTAGCATGCATGTTACGAGCATATTGGCTATTTATTAGTAGTTGCAAAGCACATATTAATGTCTTATTGTGCATGACCATATTTTAGATCCCTAAATCCTACACAATACCTAAACTTAACAACTACCTTACTAACTATTAATAAGCAGCAAATTAGGGTTTTTCACAATTTCAATTTGCTCAATTTGAAGGGTAATGGAAACATGCCTACTCACACACTCTCTCTCTCTCTCTCTCTCTCTCTCTCTCTCTCTCTCTCTCTCTCTCTCTCTCTCTCTCTCTCTCTCTCTCTCTCTCTCTCTCTCTCTCTCTCTCTCTCTCTCTCTCTCTCTCTCTCTCTCTCTCTCTCTCTCTCTCTCTCTCTCTCTCTCTCTCTCTCTCTCTCTCTCTCTCTCTCTCTCTCTCTCTCTCTCTCTCTCTCTCTCTCTCTCTCTCTCTCTCTCTCTCTCTCTCTCTCTCTCTCTCTCTCTCTCTCTCTCTCTCTCTCTCTCTCTCTCTCTCTCTCTCTCTCTCTCTCTCTCTCTCTCTCTCTCTCTCTCTCTCTCTCTCTCTCTCTCTCTCTCTCTCTCTCTCTCTCTCTCTCTCTCTCTCTCTCTCTCTCTCTCTCTCTCTCTCTCTCTCTCTCTCTCTCTCTCTCTCTCTCTCTCTCTCTCTCTCTCTCTCTCTCTCTCTCTCTCTCTCTCTCTCTCTCTCTCTCTCTCTCTCTCTCTCTCTCTCTCTCTCTCTCTCTCTCTCTCTCTCTCTCTCTCTCTCTCTCTCTCTCTCTCTCTCTCTCTCTCTCTCTCTCTCTCTCTCTCTCTCTCTCTCTCTCTCTCTCTCTCTCTCTCTCTCTCTCTCTCTCTCTCTCTCTCTCTCTCTCTCTCTCTCTCTCTCTCTCTCTCTCTCTCTCTCTCTCTCTCTCTCTCTCTCTCTCTCTCTCTCTCTCTCTCTCTCTCTCTCTCTCTCTCTCTCTCTCTCTCTCTCTCTCTCTCTCTCTCTCTCTCTCTCTCTCTCTCTCTCTCTCTCTCTCTCTCTCTCTCTCTCTCTCTCTCTCTCTCTCTCTCTCTCTCTCTCTCTCTCTCTCTCTCTCTCTCTCTCTCTCTCTCTCTCTCTCTCTCTCTCTCTCTCTCTCTCTCTCTCTCTCTCTCTCTCTCTCTCTCTCTCTCTCTCTCTCTCTCTCTCTCTCTCTCTCTCTCTCTCTCTCTCTCTCTCTCTCTCTCTCTCTCTCTCTCTCTCTCTCTCTCTCTCTCTCTCTCTCTCTCTCTCTCTCTCTCTCTCTCTCTCTCTCTCTCTCTCTCTCTCTCTCTCTCTCTCTCTCTCTCTCTCTCTCTCTCTCTCTCTCTCTCTCTCTCTCTCTCTCTCTCTCTCTCTCTCTCTCTCTCTCTCTCTCTCTCTCTCTCTCTCTCTCTCTCTCTCTCTCTCTCTCTCTCTCTCACACACACACACACACACACACACACACTCTCTCTCACATAGCGAAAGTAAATACGTTAATGTATTAACATGCTTTGGTTCCTATTTTAGAACGACTTTAGAAAGTCATTGTCGCTTTAGTTAAAACGAAAAATTAATTTGGGTTTTATTATAAATGATATGATAACTAGTGCTTCTCTGTCGCGTGCACGGACAAGCAGTTGGAAAAGGGTTCTGTACTTCTGGGCCGCTGACGGAAAGTGGATTCGTGATTGAGTGGTGCAGCGTTGGTCAACAGTGTCAAGGCGGTTCAGCGACACGGGTTCAAATCCAGAGCAAATCTGCTTTTTTTGAGATATGTGTGTGTATTCTGCAGTTCTAAAACATAAATGTAATGTTATACACAGTAATTGTTATGCTTACATTTAGGCAGAAACTTTTAAATTTAAATTATTATGAAGTGAAATTAATGACTAGCCATTCTCTTGCTTTGCGGACACAAAGACTAGCAAAGTTAATTCGTAGTCGAGTTCGTGGTCAGCAGGATCTTTGGCACGGATAAACTTGAGTTATTATTAGGGCCCGAGCACCGATGGTGTGAGGTGTGAGGACCCTATTGGAATTGCTCCTTTTCTTCTTCTTCTTCTTCTCCAAAATGAATCGCATTTTTGAGAGCCTAAACATGCTCAAAAATTCACAAAACTTTGCACACGCGTCAGAGGTGGCGAAAATTTACGTCTGATATGGGTTTCAGAATTAGGTGTGGCAAAATGGCTTGATATCGCCACCTATAAAATTTCAACGGAGTGCGCCTCAAGCTACGTTTCACGTACATGTACGAAACTCTGTAGACACATGTAACACACCAATACCTACAAAAAAGTCTCTTGGTACAAAATCCGAAACCCAACAGGAAGTCCGTTATTTTGAATTTCCTGTATGATTTTTGTGCAGTTTTTGCCATTTCCAAGCCTCGTACTTTAACGAACAGGAAGCTGCTGTAACTCAATTGCAATGTCCGATCTGCCCCAAACTTCACACGTTTGATAGGAGTTCAGTCCTGAACACATGTCCATGCCCGTATTCAGTTAGTCATAGCGCCACCTGCTGGCAACAGGAAGTTTGGCACATATAAATGACTGACATATTCCTCCTACATTTACCACTTTAAATGCATATTGCCCATCGTTCGCTGTTTTCCTAAAGCCACCGGGTGGCGGTGAGCCCGGGTGCGAGGGCCCTTTCATCGCTGCTTGCAGCTTTAATTAGAACTTTCGCTGCTCTTTCATATGGAGAGTGTCTGATGGCTCACGAGTGTTTCAAACTGAGAGCAGGTTTAGGCAAAGTGTTACACTGCAACGCAACTATTTTGGCAATACAAAAGTAAAAACATATCGCAATAATAAAAAGACTGCATTGTTAATTTTACCTCAGATTGCACAGGGAATACACTCTAAATACAATGGGTTAAAACAACACAATTTGGGATATTTTTAACCGAAGGGCTGGGTGAATATAGGACAGAACACATTATTTCAGCATCCGATTAATCTTGATCAACAACAACGTTTCACTCATTGCTGAAAATGCTGACAAGTGTTTTTTTTCTTTCCGTTTAATCTTGATCAACAACAACTAATGA